TTTTTACAGTTTTTTTGTGCTAATATTTAGGATTGTGACAATTCTTTGTGTTAACATCAAGAGTGTGGACACTTTATTGGGTTAATGTCCAGGCTTTGACACTTTATTGTGCTATAATCCAGATTTTTTTTTACACTTTTTCGTGCTGACATCCAGGATTTTGACACGTCTGTGTGTTAACATCCAGGGTTCTGACAGTTCTGGAGGTTTTTGACGTGTTTGTATGTTAACATCAAGGATATTGTTGCTTCTGTGTTCAACGATTTTGACACTTTTTTCTGGAATCTGCATTTGAATCTAAATCAGTTTTAATTAAACTATTGATGTTTTATAATTAATTATTGATTAAAATCAGGACCAGTGTTGATCAGACGTAAACCGTTTCTGACTTCAGGTTGATGCTTTTCTTCCAGATCTGATGATTTCTCTTCTCCAGTCGTCTTCTTCTTGTTTCTTTTCTTTTCCCACCAACGCGCTGTAACGTAGAATCAACCCAACGGGAACGCTTTACTAACCGCTAACTGTTTGTGTAGTTGTGTGCTGTTACTCCTCCACGTCGCCGCTTCACTCGTCCACCTCCCGTCTCTTGTCTCTGCAGAACATCCACGGACACAAAGGTCCAATCACCGCCGTGTCCTTCGCCCCCGATGGCCGTTACCTAGCAACCTACTCCAACGCCGACAGCCACATCTCCTTCTGGCAGGTAAGACGCTCCGCTGATGAGGTGCATGCTGGGTAAGTCAGCAGGAGCCTCGGTCACGTCTTTACTCCCCATCAGTTCAGACTTTGTCTAGTTTTTAATCAGTGTTTTATCACAGCGTTGCATTTCAGTGTAATGTCCAGCTGTTTGGCACATCTGTCCAGTGATATCCAGGATTCTGTCATTACTGTAGGTTCATATCTGGAATTATAACACTTTTCTGTGCTTATATCCAGGATTTTGACACTTTCCTTTATAAATATCTGGACTTTTGACTCTTCTGTGTTTTAATGTTAAAGATTTTGACACATTTATTTGTTAATATCCAGGTTTTTAAACACTTT